GGGAAATGGTAGTTGGGGGGGGGAATCCCCCCCCCCCATGGAGGAGCATCTCTCTGTGCCCCTATGGCATCTTCCTTTTATATATATCCCATGATATATATAATATATTTGTATATGAAACTAATATTATATTATAATATGCCACAATATTATAAGATAATATTATAGTATGCCATAATTTTATAAGATAAATCAATAATATGTATTATAAAGCAATAATATATAATATAAAAATAAATATATTTATATAGAATAGAATATTTCAGTTGGAAGGGACCTAAAACGATAATCTAGTCCAACTGCCAATATATGTTATTATACGTATATGATTGTATATATATAACTATATACAATTTTTTAAAATTATATTTAATTATTCACAGTGCGCCCTAGCTCTCACCGGCTTTCCCTTCCAGGACATTTTGGGTGGCTGCCTCCGTGGCAGGGGGCCAGGGCTCATGGGTGCAGGAGGAGCTGCAGGAGGGTTGTGTCTGCCCCCCACCGGCTCTCATCTTTGTGTAGCATCCCGCTGGGAAGGTGAGCGGAGCCTCCCCATGCCACTGCTCCTTGCTGGGGAGGCAGGGAATGAAATAAAAACATGGTGCCGTTTATAATTTCACCCTTCTGCAGGCTTGCTGCTCGCCCTTGCTGCTGACTCCTTGTGTTTTCCATTGAGTATTTTGTTGAAGAATGGGAAGAAAACCCTGCTTATAAAGATTAAAAATAAGGGAATTGCTAAAGTATGGTGATTAATGGCAAAAGAACATCACGCTGAGGTTAAATCTGGGTGAGCAGATGATGCGGCGGTGACATGGGAGGACAACGCAATGATGTCGTGCTTAGCCGTGACATCACACCGTGCAACGAGCTGCTATTGGCGAGCAACATGAGGATGGAGACAGCATCCTCCCTCTGTGCGTTCAGGCCGGCCGGACTGCAGTCAGCCATTGGGCAAGGCGTGAAGTGCTGTGGCTTGCAGAGAGAAATTAAACGTAGGCACCCGAAGTCTGCATGTGGGCGATGGTGCTGGTGGGTGCCCATGTCCAGCTGTGGGGCTTGGCAGCCCCCACTGGAGGGAACGGGGCTGGGCTGGGCGATGCTGGGCTGCGCTGATGCCATTCCCCACTCCTCACCTGGAGTGACATGACCTCGCTGGTGAGGTCCCCGGTCCAGCCTTGGCCGGTGGTACCTACAGCTGAGACACTGTGCTGGCAGCCTCGGCACCTGCCTGCACCCCCAAACCACCCCCTGGGTGACTTCACCCCCACCCCTGCCAGGCACAGCACCAGCGCTCATCCCACAGAGATCACCTTTATTCACACACAGCTGCCCACGGTGACCAGCAGTGCCCAAGCCCCACGCTGCCGTGGCCGAGACACCCGGGGAGCTCTGAGCTGTTCAACACCCCCAGGGAAATGGAGTGAAGGGGCCGGAGGAGACGTGGCCAGCCGCAGAGGGCGGCCATGTCCGCACCATGAGCACCTATCTAAACCCTAGCCTGGGCGGCATGAGGCTCCTGGGGCGGGATGAAGCACCATGCCGGGGCTGGCTCTCGCTGGAGTGGCTGGGGCTGTGCAGGCAGGCAGGAAGGATGGAGCCCAAGATGGGCTCAGCCCCGGGTCTGGGAAAGGAGGTGGGAAGGAGAGGGCAGCTCATGGCACTGCCATCCCGGCCTCATCCTGTCAGGCACTGGCCACAATCTCCTCCCAGGCACGCTGCTAGGCCAGCGTGTTCTTGTACCAGCCGCTCTTGTGGATCAAGATGTCCTTGCGGGGGCTGAACTCCTCCAGGATGAGGAATTTCTCCTCCTCGGAGAAGTTGATGCGCTTTGGTTTGGCTGTGCTCATGCTGCCCCTGCGGCAGGCTCGGAGGGGGTGAGGGTGAGGATGAGGATGAGGATGGGTCGGAGTGTGCTCACACTGAGCACCACTCCATCCCCCCGTCTGGGGCACACCGAGCCGGGGCTGTGGCACTGCTTGGGGCTCAGCAAGACCGATTGCCCCCCGGGGTGCTGATGGTGATGTTCCCCTCACAGTGCTCCCCCAGCCTGGACGCCCAGCAGGGTCCCTCGCTGCCGTGGGGCCGGTGCCAGGCAGATGGCTGGGGACATGGGTAGGGCCACACCCTGTTCCCAGCCTGGCTGGGGAGACTCTGGTGCCGGGGGTGCTCAGCCAGGTGCTGGGTCTTCCACCCGCCCATCTGCAGCCGTGAGCTGGGCTGCACCCGTGGGGCTGGGTGTTCATGGGGGTTTTGTTTGTTTGCTTTGGGGTTTGGGGTTTGGAGCTCCCCAGTTGCAGCTGGCGGCCGTTGCCCGTTTGCTGCCCCATGATGCGTTCAGCTGCTGCCCGCCTCCCCTGCTGCTGCCTCCCCCTCTCCTGCTGCCCCTCCCAATCAGGGAAATTAAAAGGTTTCAACACTGGGGATGTTTTTGGCCACTTTATTTGGGGTAAAAGCCCAGGTCGGCCACAAAAGAGTTAAAACATTGGTTAAAAAAAGGTGATGGGAGTCAAACAATGCAAGAGGGTGTGAGGGCTGCGGGGCGCATGTCGCCTCCTCCCACTCCTCCCAGCCGGACCCAAGGGCAGGGATGCTACAGGCAGCAGCGCAGGCACGGGCCAAGGCAATGCTGCACTGGTGTCCTTGGCATGGAGAGTTACAAAACACTGGGAATAAAGGGAGCACGTCCCGCATGGCGAGTGGGGTTCCCCTGAGTTACACCACCACACCTGCAGTCCCAGCTGGCGGCCAGAGAGAGCATCTGGCGAATGGAGGGACGTGGCAGCATGAAATAAGGAGCCTCATGGCTGTGGGGCTTGGCGTGATGCCCCTCCATGCCTGGAGCCATCAGGTAGCCCCAGATGGTGGTCCTGGCTCCCCCGGCACATCATGCTGGCTCTGCGTGGGGGCCAGCCCATGCTGTGCCAGCAGCCCCTGCACCAGCTCAAGCTCCTGCTCCAGCTCCTGGGCACCGCAGCCCAGCCCCGGCACAGCAGTGGCACTTTTCCCCAGTACCTGCAGCACCTGTACTGCCAGCCGGGCCCTCACCAGCAGCACGGCCAGGGCTACGTGCAGCTTGGCACAGCCCAGCGCCTTCATCCCCCAGCGGGCAACGGCCTCTGCAGAGAGAGTGGGCAAATGGGCCACGAGTGCAGTAGGGTCCCCCCTAGGCAGAGCTGGCCCAGGGGATGAGGACACCAGCTTGCCTGTCCTGGGGTTTCGTGCCACCCTGCTCCCCCCGTGCTGTACCTTGGCTCCAGCAGTGCTTGCAGTACCGCAGGTCGCACAGGATGCTGGGGGCTGCGGCCACCAGCCAGCGCAGAGCTGAGGCATGGAGCGGGCTGCCAGCAGGCGCCTTCTCCAGGAGCTGCAGCAGGACGGGGAGCAGCTGCTGCGCCATGACGGCCGGCTCCGCGAAAACATTGGGTTCATCCTCCTTGTACAGGGTGGTGGCTCTGGGGGGGAAAAGCCGAGGCACAGGTGAAGCCGAGGGCTGGTGCCACGGTGCCCTGTGCTCCCTCGTACCCAACCCAGGGGTCTGGCAACTCACTTGTTGGCGTCCAGCTCCTCCACGATGCCCCTGAGATCTAGGACAGGGAGGTGCTGCAGCAGCAAGTCAAAGGTTTCGGGGTGCTCCCCAAACTCTGTCAGGAGGAGCTGCAGGAGGCCCAGGAGGCCCACGTTGTCCTGCACAAAAATGCAGCTGTCTCGGAACGGCTCACTGGGGTCCTGCTGCAAGAGGCTGGCAAAACCTGAGGCCTCATGCCGGACCTCCCGCTCCTCGTCTTGCAGAAGGTGAATGCCCATGTTTATCAGCCTGGGGAAAGGAAAGAGAAGGGAAGGGAAGGCCACTGCACTCCCCAGAGCATCCCCAGCCTGCCTGCAGGGTCGGGGAAGGACAAGACCTCTCCAGGGCAATGCTTCCCAAAAGGACTTTTCTCCTGGGTTGTGAAGGCATAGCCGCCACCCAAGCGCTCACTGCTTGGGAGGGCAGGGACTGTGACGGGGACTGAGGGACCCACCAATGCAGTTTATTGCTCATAAGGGACTGGCTGCTTCTATTAAAATGCTATGCACAGATTTTTTTTCTATGCTGCAAGCTCTTGGGTGCTAGTGATTTTTGAATGAGTGGGGTTTTCTTTAATGCCCTTGAATTTTTTGCGGGGGACGTCACCTTTTGCAGGGTCAGCCTATTAACCTGCAACACCCCAGGGCTGTGGGCAGCACTGCTCCTGCAAGGACCTACCGCAGAGCCACGGGGATGAGCAAGGGACAGGCAGTGCACAGGGCTCGCTGCACCACATCAGCACCCGCTATCTGCAGGGAGCGGGCGGCCGCCAGCCGCAGCACCTCGTACGAAGCAGACTGGCTGCACTCCTCCAGTGCCGTGCACCATCGCTCAACCAGGGTGCTGTCCTCATCCTCAAACCTGTCAGAGGCCGGGGAAGGAGAGGGAATTCAGGCACACCTTCCAGCTCCATCCAGGGGTCCAAAGGCCACTGGCTGCTCTGAGACCGCAGGACCCAGGTGCAAAGCCAGCTGTGATTTACAGGAGAGAAGTTGTGGCTCTGTTTCTAGCAAGGACTAAGGAAAAATCTCCTGGAAGGGTCAAGTGAAGCCCTCCGGCAGCGGCAGGGACCTACCGGCGGGCGAGCAGCAGGCTGGCAGCACACAGCGCCTGGAAGAGGAGGTCAGGGCCAGGACACTCAGCCTCCACCATGTGCAGCAGCATCTCCAGGCATGCTGCTGAGGAGCCCTGGAGCTTACGGGAAGCTTCCTGGGACCACGACAAGGGATCTCTGTAAAGATGCAGCAAAGCCTCAAGGTACAATCTCAGGAACTCTTTGTCCCGTCTCTCTTGCAGCACCGACCCCAAGCTTTCCTAGTTGACAATGGGAAAGAAGGTACATGGTTAGTGGCCCTGGCACCACAGGGTGGCAACCTCAGCACAACTGGCTGAGCACCCTGCACCTGTGCACCATCAGTGTGGGGAGCACCGTGCTTCTCAGTGAGCACCCAGGATCCCGTCTGCATGGTGCATTGGGGACCCTCTGCTTTACTCGGTGACTTTTGAGCCTCGTCATACCAGCAGCGTCAGCCTGAGAGCCTTCTCCAGCTCCTCACACGTTCCTCCCTCCCCAGTGATCACCCAGCTCAGGACAGCAAGCTGGACGTCGGGATTCAGCTGCCAGAGAAGCGAGCAGACGGCACCAATCTGCTCGCCATCTGCCAGCCGGGCTGCCTCGCTGCACACAAAGCGGGCCATGGTTTGGTGGAGGATGGCCGAGCCTACCTGGAGGAAAACCAGGATCCCCCTTCCAACACAGCCTCAAGTGGGGTATGTGGCCCCCGAATTGGGGGGGGTCCCCACCTCCCACCCCCAGGCTCGCCGTCAGGGAGGCCACGGCTGTGATTTTCCCGGCAGGCAGCGGTACCTGCAGCTCAGCACATCCCGGCTTTCCCCCCGGCGGGAGGCTGCCCAGCTCAGTGCTGACAGCGTCACGGATGCTCTGGACAAAGCCAAG